CTTTAAGTTTGTTCAGAACCTTGTAGGTACCAAGTTTTGATTCTCCAGAACTCTTTTGAAGTAAAGGGAACGTTGCTTTGGCACTCACTGTTTTGACTGAAAACAAACAAACATTATGATAGAAATCATAAATTAAAAAGATAAAATTAGTTTTACGATAACTAACAAACTTAAGGAATGCATTGCAACAAGACTTTTTCAAGAATTCAAGACTCTGTAGGAACACTGTTTCCTTTACTGCGGCCACCTCCCAGATGGAGACACAGTGCCCGCCGTCAGTCTGAACAGTGGTTGTCTTAAATAGAGTTAACTATGATGTAGCCATGCTTAGAGTAGCAAACAGTTTTTGAGCCAATCCATACAATCAGATGTAAACAGATTATTACAAACCTATGATGGAGCTTGCCTAGACCCTTTATGGCGTCTTCCCAGGCCTCCCTCGCTCGAACTCTATTACTTATGTCATTTTTGGAAATTACAGTGCAACCGGGAAAACAGTGAACACTTGAAATATTCCAAGAGTGTTTATTGTGTTAACACCAATCACAGCAAAGATTAGGACATGCGAGCAAGCCACAAAACCACAAACTAATTAACGTTCTTGCTAGCGGTTTAGTTTTCTCACGCTTGATTAGCTTTTTTCTTGCAACACAACAACATTCCAAAAATGATTCTGGTGTTCATGGTTTTCCCGGTTTGACTGAAACCAGTAATGAAGCTAAAAGAATTTTGAAAAATGAGAACCAGAGTCACCAGAAGAACTACCATCAAGCCACAGCTTACACGTGTCCATTTGCACAGTGTTTTCACTAACAGATGCATTTTCTGAGTTCCAAACTGCTTCCACCAAGAGAACCTCGTTTGTTTTATTTTTACGTCCAGGGACACCAAGAAAGTGGTCTACAAAAATCAAATAGAGCAGAAGACTTGCTCAATTGTAGACTGCTCTCTTAATGTGCACTTAATGATTGTGGATAACATGGTGTGAAATTTGATTTCCAGATGAGACAGCAGCTAGTCGGCTTCATGGACGAAAATGCAACTGTTGGTGAATGGAATGGGCTGGACTGGACTGCAGGCAGGAGTGAAAATGGACTGACATGCTTGGCACCGATGCAAGTGATGAACAGATCAAGAAGCAACCTGAAACGCAACTTGACTTGTCTGATTTAAGAACCTGATCTTCTAATTTAAAGCAGTAGTTAGGTTTGTATGACCCTGTTGTATGAGACGTTGTGCACCAAATAGGTACCAGGTGATGAAAACTGAGACAAAGGGCAAATCCCCACCCGAGAAAACGAAACACAAAACATACAAACTTAAGTGATCTATTGATCCTTTTCCTTAAGCGATTCCCATTCCAGATGTCAGCAATAAACCATCTTAAATTTGCTATAATTCTTGTCAAACACCTACACGGTGCTATGTATGCTACCACTCAGGGTTTTTCAGACTCACTTTACATTACAGTAAATAATTAGAGAAATAAGAAATATTGGATAAAATATTTAAAAGCCATCAATAGATAAATCTCCTAACTTACAAAATGTGGATTCAAGCGAAATTCTCTCAGTCTCTTAAACTTAAATTAAACTAAACTAAAACTTCTTGAATGTACAAGTTGTCAGCTACAGTAATCGCACGTGGTAAGGAATTTTTTAAGGGTAATAGCCCTGCATAAAAAAAGTGCCTTGTCCAGATGCTGATTGACGAACTGAGATATTTAAACTGTCCTTCTTTTAAGTGGTACTTATATGGTAGTATAGGTAGTAATAAGGTAGTTAATATTTGGTTGTAATATGGTAGCTGTAAATAACAATAATAATAATAATAATAATAATAATAATAATAATAATAATAATAATAATAATTTTTTATTTATAAGGCGCAAAATAGCATTTAAATATATGATCTAATGCGCACAAATAAAATAAACTACTTATCCCCATTGCAGTGATGTGCATGGTTGATGTGAAAGGCCATGAGAAAAGCATAAACAAACCATTGCTTAAGGAAGTCACTTCAGCACACATAATGCCGTGTTATTTGAAACTTGCCTCCATAGCTAGGTGCAGTTCCGTTTCTGAATCTGTCTTTTGGTGAAAAACTCAAGTGCATGGAATTCATGGATGAATCGTAATTGTAGCCGAGGTGAGGAGCCAAGTTCATCAGATCATCTGAGTGCAGTGCTTAAGAGAAGGAAGAGTCACAGTCAAGATGAAAACATTTGCAAAGCCGGCAAAGAAGTGTATCTCTACTAGCCTCCTGAGTCGGAAATCCTGTGGTTGGATTGATCCATTGAAACCTCTTCAGCGTTCATACAAAAAATTGCAACCATTTGTTCAGGACTTTTCAAGGACCTCATTCGATTTTCAAGGACAACCTACCCGGAATGTAAGTCACAGATTTGTACATAAAATAATGTCCATTCCCAGTCCAAGCTTACAGACTTTAAGGCTTGAACTGTTTGCTACACCAGTTTCTCTACATTTTTCAGTTCACTTGTCTAAATTGATAGTTAATTCTCGCATTCTCTCAAAAAATCCAGCTAGATATTTTTGGGATCTTATCACAGGTTCTCAATGACTTTCACTGTTCGATTTTTGACCAACAGAGTTTACAAATGATGCCTTCAACTAAAGTAACGATTCTTAGATATTCTGCAAAGCTGCAAAAGTAAGAAAACAAAAGCGTGCCGCCATAACTCAACACATTGATAGGTTGCCCACAAAAGTGTTTTTATACATGTGTAAATGGCAAGAAAAAGGGAGCAAGAACAGAATGCCTTTCAATTAGGTGAGCATAGTGCAGAAAGATGATACAATCCAGTGCAAGATCTTCGGTGAGTGTTCATTACGGTGGCTCTGATTCACAATTAAATAATGATGGCATGCAAATTACACGCCTTAACATAAATTAAGTTTGTGCCTCAGAAGAGAATTAAGAGCAGTCTAGTTCACTCCTAGCAGTGGTTTTTAATTATAATTACCAAGAAACATTATTACTGCACCATACTATATATATGCAGAGGTTAAGACAAGCTAACAGCAGTAAATTTAACATGAAATAACTATAACTATTAAAATATTGCAACATTAATTAACACTTTACATTTTTTTGATTTACCGAAATATATGAGAGAGAAGCAGTAAAAAATAGGATACAAAGATGACATCTTGAGCAGTCAATAAGAATTAGTGTGACGATGCAGAAATGTTACGTCAGCTTTAAGAGTGTGCTAAAGGCACTGAAGAATTATGCCATCAGAGAGGAATGATGTTTGTTGATTATCAATGATACATGATGATATGATGATTATCGTGCATGACAGGAAAAAGCCAATTAGAAGTGAAGTGTAATATACCACCAAAAGCCAAGTTTGATGGGGGTAAATAAAACACCTTCTTTAATTGGCCAAGAGACAGGATAGTAATAATAGAATGCAGAAAATAATAGAGTTTAAGAAGATATTTATACTAACTATTAGCAGCTGCAGTGATCAGAACCGCTTTGCCTATTCCTCGGAAAGTTAGACTTCCTTGTAAAGAGAAGACAGTATAAAAAAGATTAGAAAGATTTATTGCCCTTAAATGTATGGTAACGACTTCATTACAGAACATCAATACCAACGATACATTAGTGAATCAAGGTTAAAATCTGTGGAGTGTAAAATGAGCCCTGCAGTGTATGAGCTGTAACTGCAGACCAGCTATTTGAACCTTTTAAGCCTCAAGAGTAACTAACATCAACTTTCATCCAGCGTTACTCATTGATTTTCAAGAGAAAAGGTTTTGAGAAAAGATGCTTTGATCTTTTATCAAACTCTCCTAAGCAATTCTTAAAGGAAATAAATGGAGATCAGTGTGGAGAATGTGTATGAGGATATTAAACAGATGAACAGCCAGGCAGGGTGGGTGGGTGGGTGGGTGGGATCAACCAAATGCAATGTATTGTGTCCTTTGAGCACTTGAGCAGAAAAACTAAACCAAGACCTTATCAGAGTCCCATAAAACAAACTGAAATATATATCCAATTTTCTGTTTAATGTAACCACTGGAAATTGAAAGCCAAAGACAAGATCTTTCATCCTGGGAAAGCTTCTATTGTTCACTGAGTAACAAACTCTCAAGTTTCATTTAGGGACTGATGTCATTCTGGCAGGAGTGACGCTAATTTCTTATTGGCACAGCAACCTCAATCAAAGTCAAATTTAGCAATGTCTATTACTTAAGAAAAATAAATTTCCCAAACTTGCGGAACTAATTTTCGTTCTAGTTATTGAACACTTGAAAAACAAAAGAAAAACAAAACAAACAAAAAAAAAAGGAAAAAATAAAAGCTATTATAGATCAATACCTTTGAAGCATTCACACTCTTTGACAAGAACTGGTGATTCTACATTTTCGTGACAAGTCACACAATAGTGGTATGCCCTTACAGAAATAAAAAGCATTTCAAAGAATAATAATTAAAACTGTCTTTTTCATAATCATAAAAGTAACTGAAAGGACTGTTGGAATTTGTAGCATAGGATTAAATTTAGTAAGCCATTCATTCACTATTGCTAGGCTTAAGAATGAAAAGTACTTTAAAATTCAACATAACTGAAGAGACACTTAATGTGATGTTTATCCTCTTCTTCTATGTGCAGCTAACTACTGTAACACCAAAATCTTGTCTGCCAAACACTATCGTTGGAAAATCTTGACGTATAATAACAATCAGCTTTGGTTGATGGTTTTAAAATTTTCATTGCTTTTAACCCTCTATAAGCAACTGCTTGATGCATGGTCTGATCTCTAATTATAAGTAGTGCACCACTCAAATTGTATCCAATAAATTTTCCTCAAATAAGAAGAAGACAATGCCCTGGAAGGGTCCCTTTGGGTTTTGCAAGTGACTAAATATGACCTTAAAAGCAGATAAACATAGATTTATTGCTCCATTGGTAAAAAAAAATAAGACAAATTTCCAATATTAATAAAAGGACCAACTAATTTCTTGTACCTTTTGACTTCAGGAGAAGATCCTGCAATAAAGTAGCCCCTGGTTCTTTGTTCAATGATCTTGTCTCGAGGATTGATGGTAAATCTTGAAAACAAAATACAAAATCAAGCAATTTATACAAACCATTGTTGTTCAGTTGGTTATATTAAGTTGAGTTTGGAGATTGAAACTTGAGCTGGCCATATTTGAAATAGGTTATAGTTGACATTTGGTATCATCTGATCTTGTACTTCATAGTCTTCCCTGCTAGTTTAGTATTCAGTCTTACTCTGATGCACCTGCCAAAGCTAAAATTGTCTCATTTGCTTATTGAGGGGAAAATAGAAAATGTATTAAAAACATAAAAATGGAGAATTCCACATAATCCAGTTCTTCACAAGAGAGTCAACATATCATCTACTCATAAAGGCTCCGCAGAAACAACTCTCTAATGTTCATAAAAACTAACCATTTAACGAACTTGTTTGTTTACCATACGGTTTGGGCAAATGGTATATAAAATTCAGGACTGGTAAATTTCTGGCCTGAAACTGGTATCAAAGATAGCTTTGAAGAAATGGAGCAAAGATTTATTCATAAGTATCCTAGTGAAAAGCTCAGGGTAGCTTAACAGTTTGAGTCTCTAGCAAGAATAAAAGAAGACTCACTATTGATCTGCTATTAAATACAATTTGCACTACATTACAGTGTGATTTTTAATACACTCACATATTGGGAATAATTATGTTATAATAATACTTACATTTTCTCCCCATCAGGTTTGATAGTTTCTATGGCGATTAGAAGAAGACCGAGCTTTTCAAAACAAATCCTGTCACCAAGGAAATAATATTCATTTGAATTTAATATGTAATCCAATAGTGCTGTGCCGACAAGTCACCTCAAATAATTAATGCTCCCAGTACTTGACTGTTATTTTGGCTAGTTAAAAAGCAGTGTTCAACTACTTCAATTCAACCTCATCCCCAGTGGTTGACTTCAATTGCCTGGGGTAATTTGGCATCTCTGTTCTTTTTTTAATATGTAAGTTAATATCACCTTTGTTTAAAGTTTTGCCCTGCCTTAAGATTAGCATAATAGCTATTTGTGGGGCATACAGTATATTGTAAAACTATAATGGTTTGTTAGTAAATACACTGTTGTTATATATATAACAACAGTGTATTTACTAACAAAACATTATAGTTTTACAATATATTGTATGCCCCACAAATAGCTATTATGCTAATCTTAAGGCAGGGCAAAACTTTAAACAAAGGTGATGCTTTCTAACTGGGTTCATTCAAACCCACTAATAATTCATGAGCCCATTAACTTATGAAATGGTCAATAGTACATCATGTGCAGTGACTTCCAACTGATAAACCTCCTCCTTATTAGTATGCAGTATTTTAAGAGATAACCCTAACCCTAACCCTAACCCTAACCCTAATAAAGTTAATATTAATTATCAGCTGACCCTTAGGGTGGATTTCCACTGTTGCATAATTTTAAACAGAGACAAGGTATGAAGTGTTGCACTTAAACATGAAGTTAAGCGAGGTTCAACATTTGCTTTTATGTGTGATCTTTTATATATTGCCTCTCTTTTATTTGTGATGAAAATTTTACGTGCAGCATATGCACGTAAAAATTAAGTGATAGTGGAAATCCACCCTTAGACACAACAAATTAAACTGGCCTGACAGTCATCTCAAACAAGCGTTCATGTTTTGAAACTAATGACAGTTATTATTCTTAAGTTTTAACTTATTTAAATCCAAGATAAAATTTTTAATTGTTCTGCCTTAATTAGAAATATTCTTGGTCTTACTCAGCAACTTGTTGGAAGTTCATTCCCTTAAATGAATTAGACAGGGTTTCAGTGTACATTTCAAGGTTTGCACCATCTATGTAAGATGTCTTCCAGATATCTGAATCTTTTCTGTTTTCCTAAAATGGATGTAAAGTATATTATATTCATGCAAAAGTACACACAACCCTGTCAGAGCTACATCAAAGTACTGTATGCACATGCTTTCAAGCCTACAAACATTTTGATCAAACTCGGTGAGGCTTTTACAGAAAATGAATAGACAAAGGTGAGATAAAACTCCAAAAACAAGATAATGTGTTAAAAACAGACAGAAATCATAATAAGGTTTTATAGAAAAAAAAAAACCAAAAGTCCTCTCAGGGAAGTAAGCATTTTTCCAAATCACTGACATTTTATTTTGAAGAGCACTGTATTATGTATATATATTTGCAGAAGGTACATATACTGGTATTTTCTTAAAATTCTTAGTTTATAGTGTCCTTACTTAGTGCTGTTCATGTTTGACACTTTGATAAAGTTATCTATCTAAAGCTGTCTATTATAATATGACCTGTATGGCCCAGGGGGGGCACTCGGGATTTCAAGTGACAGGGATGATCAAAGGATTTTTTGGGGTTTGAAATTTTTCGATTCCGGGTTTTTTTTGGGTACGAAAATTAGGCAAGTATTTTTTTGGGTATAGCTTGATTTGAGTAGGGATTTTTTGGGCGTATTAAAAAGAATCAGTAGTGCCCTGGCTGCGTAGTTCTGCGAATAAAGTACAAACAAACGTGTTTTGCTGTTGTTTAATAGTTAACTATGATGTCGCTTTACATCGCACGTGTTATACAGTAGTCTGCATTGTCCCATGGGGAAGGATATATTCAGATGGTATGATGAATAAACAAACATGAATGTTCAATTTCCAATGTTTTTCTTTGTGTTATAGCATTAGCCCTTTCTGGAACTTAAGGGCCACAAAATGGGCACGGGATTTTTTGGGGATTAATTTTTGGTCCAGGGATTTTTTTGGGTTTTGCTGGAAACCCTAGGGATTTTTTTGGGTCTTGACTTTTGGCTCCATTCGATCATCTCCGTCACTTGAAATCCTGAGTACCCCCCTGGGCTGTATGGCTCCATGTGCAATTTCATAGGAAAACCAGATGAAAAAGTCTTTTTGAGTGCAGTACATGTCATTAGTGATAGGGCTGGAAAAACGCAGCCCTGCTAGAAAAGCGAACTGATCAATGCAGGTTCACTCCGTCAGAAAAAAAACACAATGTTCAGTCATATGATGAAATTCTTATTGACTGAGTTAGGTAGGGCCGGATGGGAAAATATTTGGCTCTCGATCCGTACATCCTGATTTTGAGTCAAATATTTTCCTGTTCGGCTCTCCCACTCAGTCAATAAGTACATATTTTGTTTCCGGTTCTGTGAAATGATACTGCAGCTGCAGCAAAGAATATGTCTTGCTGTAATGAAGGATAGAATAATAATAAAAGCTTTATCAGGAAAACAAAACTTTTGTGAAGTACCTTCATTATAGTGACAATGACATTGGATGAAATAGTACAACTACTGCGTGTTGTGCCTGATATAATATTTATTACTTGCAAATTTACAATCTAAGGAAGTAGATACCAGAATGTGGACAGCGATGCTAAATTGCTCAGCTAAAAAGAAGTTTGTTTGAATTAATCTGTGTTGACAAGGTGTTGGGAGTGATTGCTAAATTTTTTCTCAAGGAAATATACTAACAGAATTTCTATTTTGCATAATTGATGCCTGATTCAGAGTCTGACCATTGGATGCTTGATTACCCATGACACCTGTCGGCTATAACATACAACCATGGCCTTGTTGGTTTGATGTAAATCATGTATTAACACCAGGGTTCCTACTCGTTTTTGAACAAAAAATTCAAGGACTTTCAAGGACCCATTTCCCATTTTTCAAGGACTCCATTCAGTGCAAAAACGAGCCTTGAGTCTTTTTCTTTTTTAGTTCTTCCACATGAGCAATTTTATCCTGAAGGTATTTCTATATTCGCTCCTTTTAGGCACTGGAGAATCTGGGTTGCATATACTTATAGCACCGAAATTCAACCACTTTCCAGCACCAGCTTTAATTTTCAAGCACTTTTCAGACTAAAATTCAAGGACTTTCAAGGTGTGTGTGACCCCTGTGCAACCAAAGGAAAGCAAAACTGAAGTTTATGAATGAACTTTTTTCATTTGCATGTTTTAATCAACAGTGCTCAAAGAATTTACCAGTAACAGCAATTAGCTGAATCACACACACCCTACAAGTATAGTGCTAATACAGAGAAACTGAAAAAATCTCAGTCAGTTTTTTCACTTTAACAAGATCCCAATTTTAATTATATAAAATAAATTATTATAAATTTAAATTAATTTTATCACGTTCCTAATCAGTAAAATTAATAATTATTTTATTAAAAAACAGTAATAACCTTATAACACTTACTGTATCATTTGATCTCATGGAAAAAATGTTTGCCAACAGTGTAGAGAATCCTGGAGACAGACAACTTTGTGCAATAAATCCTAATTTGAGCTGCAAAAGGAAAGGAGCCTTAATAATAATGTTGTTCCTTTTTTATCAGAACAAGAACAGAATATTCAGCATTACTGATTAATCAGGCACATTGATTTACAAAATATTTTACCTTCCAGTATTTNGGTGTTGGGAGTGATTGCTAAATTTTTTCTCAAGGAAATATACTAACAGAATTTCTATTTTGCATAATTGATGCCTGATTCAGAGTCTGACCATTGGATGCTTGATTACCCATGACACCTGTCGGCTATAACATACAACCATGGCCTTGTTGGTTTGATGTAAATCATGTATTAACACCAGGGTTCCTACTCGTTTTTGAACAAAAAATTCAAGGACTTTCAAGGACCCATTTCCCATTTTTCAAGGACTCCATTCAGTGCAAAAACGAGCCTTGAGTCTTTTTCTTTTTTAGTTCTTCCACATGAGCAATTTTATCCTGAAGGTATTTCTATATTCGCTCCTTTTAGGCACTGGAGAATCTGGGTTGCATATACTTATAGCACCGAAATTCAACCACTTTCCAGCACCAGCTTTAATTTTCAAGCACTTTTCAGACTAAAATTCAAGGACTTTCAAGGTGTGTGTGACCCCTGTGCAACCAAAGGAAAGCAAAACTGAAGTTTATGAATGAACTTTTTTCATTTGCATGTTTTAATCAACAGTGCTCAAAGAATTTACCAGTAACAGCAATTAGCTGAATCACACACACCCTACAAGTATAGTGCTAATACAGAGAAACTGAAAAAATCTCAGTCAGTTTTTTCACTTTAACAAGATCCCAATTTTAATTATATAAAATAAATTATTATAAATTTAAATTAATTTTATCACGTTCCTAATCAGTAAAATTAATAATTATTTTATTAAAAAACAGTAATAACCTTATAACACTTACTGTATCATTTGATCTCATGGAAAAAATGTTTGCCAACAGTGTAGAGAATCCTGGAGACAGACAACTTTGTGCAATAAATCCTAATTTGAGCTGCAAAAGGAAAGGAGCCTTAATAATAATGTTGTTCCTTTTTTATCAGAACAAGAACAGAATATTCAGCATTACTGATTAATCAGGCACATTGATTTACAAAATATTTTACCTTCCAGTATTTCATTAACTAATAATAATAATAATACAGTCGACTCCCAATAACTCGAACCCCTGCTTACTCGAACCTTGCGCTAACTCGAACCAAAATCTATTTCCCCTGGATTTCCGTCATACATTCACTGTAATTTTACCCTCGGTAACTTGAACCCTTGATAACTCGAACTCCCGCTAACTCAAACCAATTTTCGTTCCCCTTCAGGTCATTTTCTATATAATTTTACCCTCGATAACTTGAACCATGTTTTGAGCCCTTAAAAGGTCAGGAAAAAAGCCATCTACTGGCGTCCGAAACATTGAATTTTGGATTTCCTTTTCATTTCCATTGAATTTTGGATTTGGTGTGTTGTAGGAGTATAGTTTACTAGTGGAGGCTGATGTTGATTGTCACAGGCTAACGTGAAGCAGCGTTTCTTCTCAAAACAGTAAAACGCATGCTCTGTTTAGGCTATGTTTTGTTATGTTACGTTCTGATTTATAATCTAAAAGTATCTTTTAATTTTCACTGGACATTTCTACAATTAAATGTGATTAAAATGTTCACTGTGCAGTAAAAACTGTTTTCTACCTTACTTGAGGCTATTTTCTTTGAACTCCCGATAACTCGAACTCCCGATAACTCGAACCTTTTCTCAATTTCCGTTGAAGGTTTGACTTATCAGGAAGTCAACTGTAATAATAATAATAATTTTTTAGTGATAATGATTTCAAAATACTTTATTAAAATAATGATAATGATAATAAAAATAATTCTTCAGCAAACCATCCAGAACTTTATTTTTTTATTTATAATTATTGTTATTATTATTATTATTATTATTATTAGACCTAAGTTTTGACTTAAGTCCATTGTACCTCACTGATGCAGACCACATCATCTCCACATTTTGGATTCCATGATGGGATGTTCAACAGGTAAGACTGCACACAAAAAGAGAGAAGATATTATAAAGATAAATCATTACTTTACTGTGTTGAACAAAACATGCGCCATGTCTCTGCAACATAATCATGTGATATATACCAATTATTATTTATTAACATGGAGTATTATTTAATAAGTATTCAGCCATGCATTGACTAGTATCTCATCCAATTTTCTTTTTACTAAAAAATGATCGGATGTATGTTTCTCTTTTAAACTGTGGCCCAAAAATGCTGACATGTTTCCAGTTTTTACTTCCCTCTGCCAAAATAAGGGAATTGGCTTTTAGTTTTCATGGTTTAGGAGCATCCATAACTATTAATGGTAATTAATATAATATCAACAACAAAAATGATGACAGCTTCCACCTCACCTTGTTCATGTACTGAAGTAGTTGAATAATAATTCTTATTTCTGGATAATAATTTTTTATGGCTACAACCCTGAGGAAAAAAATAGGCTTACTAGAAGAGGTGTTTTGTGTGGAAGTACTTTATACATTAAAATGAGTAATTTTAACAGAACTTTAAGCATCTAAGCTGGTTATTTTAATTTCCAGTGCATGAGACGGGCTGCCTTCTTCTTCTTTTTTAAATACTTTTTACATTCTTAAGAATTTGTTCCTTCCACTGCATAAATTCCAGACCTCACTAGAGACTGCAGTATATGCCACGGTCACTTAACACAATCACTGCAGGTTTTGAGATTGGGATTAATACTATTATTGTTTAGGCCTTTAAGAAACTCAGGGACTCAGGATAATGAGATCAAGCTGATAAAGTCTGAGTTCCACTTTCAACACTTAATTCTTACTAGAGGGTTAACAGTTAAGCTGCATTAAAAGAGGTTTATGGAAGTCTTTCAAGAGCTCCAGGTTGCCCCTGATGACTTTAATTACTTTGAGTTGCAGGGCACCCTGGATTTCACATGTGCAGAGAAAACAATAGCTGTAAGCTTGCCTGATTTCTCATTACTTTTATACATTACATTTGCTTTAAATAGGAAAAAATGGATTGCTAAACGTACATTTAATTTTGTACAGCACAGGTGCAGAGCACTGCGGGCTCACTTTCCTTAGAGTGCACAGCCTTGTCTTTAATTAGCTAATCCTGATTATGATGCAACAACTATTTGTTTTAATACCTCATGATATTCTCTGCATCCTCTTCACCTGGATCAATACACTCTTTATTGCACAAGACAATACAGCAATCCGCCAAGTTCATCTAAAAATTGAATTAAACACAAACATTAATATTGCATCGTATGCTGTGTGGCTGTTGCAAAATGCATAATGCTGAATGCTGAATAGCCCACACCTGTTTTCATACATGCTAGCTACAGCTTGCCCGAATGGCAGGCTGTGAAACTGACTTTCTTTGCACCCTGACAACACGAAGGCACACCAAGAAGAAGAGGATGGCAAATCATTTATGTGAGACAAACGTGACATGGCTGTTACTTATGAGCATGCATGTTTTGTTATGATCCTCAGTTTTTCTCACTGTGTTCAGGTCTTTTACAGAAAGACCTGTTTAAAGGGAGGCAACGGTTTGGCAGAAACGTTTTTCAGACATAATCAAATTATTGTCACGCTTGTCACGCAGAGTTTGCTGTCTTCTTTCCTATATTGCCTTCTTATTGTGTAAGTTTGTTAAAACAATCCAAGAACCCACCTTTACTCGTTGGCAGTCATCTCCATTCAGAACAGTTCCCTTGAAAAATGATACACTAATAAAATGTTTTTTGAACAATGATTCAAGCTCTGCATCTGGCAAAAAACTAAAAGGAAAACACAAAAAATGTGACTTGCATACCAGGTGCATTTCTGATTCATGAACAATGAAATTAGACTGAGGCTGAACTTGAGTTTTCTACACAGAAGACAGTTAACCAGGCACTTTAAGGACTTGTGGTCTAACAGGTCTCACTGTTTTAGAAATTTTTGCCAGTGTTCTAGCTAATCCATTTTTTGGTCCAGATGGCCAAGGGCTGATAATTTCCACTGCAGTCAAATATGCAAGACTTTTTATTTTTCATTCTATTTTGGGAAATAAAATATCAGATGTGTATAGAGAGATCTGTTCGTGTTTGTATAAAATAGTATTATAAAGTGTAACTATATCTTTTCCTCAAAACAATGAGCTTTTATCTATGACAATTCTTTGCACCCTTGCAAAGTTATGTTGGCAAATGACACTGAAAATTCTGAAGTTTCGGTCTTCCCATATGCTGAAATGTTTTTACAAAACATTGCAGTTCACAGCAGGGCAGCCGTCATATAACAGTGTCTGGTGGCGAAGTAATTTCTTTTTTTGGCCACAACAGAAACTTTTTTAAAACAATTAGTTATTTCAACTGCTAGGCACCAAGCATATGATGTGAGCTGGTTATGTTCTAGATTCCCTACCTAGGGTATGACCTTGAGATTGCACTTAATACAATACAACATTAATACTCACTTTCCCATGATGACTGCATTGATTGAAGTATTAGATCTATCTTTATGGAGAAAGTCTCTTAGAAAGGTTTCCACACTTTGCTTTGTTATATATCCACAAAGAATAACATGCCTGGAATAAATTACACAAAGAGGGGATTGCTGATATCATTTACTGTACAATTCTGTTTTATGAGCTAAGCCTTTCACAAGTATACTTGCCCATCTAGATGCAAACAAAAATGACTCTCCTTGAAATCCCCTATCCCAGGCCACACAACAGATATAATCCCTCCTGTAATTAGATACTGGGTATTCTTTTAATGTAATAATAAATATTAATTTTTTTTGTCTTAAGTGCTTATTAATACTATAGCTCACAGCATTTTTAAATAAGTCTCTTTAAGTTTTAAAACTGTTCTGTTTATAATCCGCCCAAAACCTTACTAGGCTTATTGTTGAGTCAGTAAGAGTATGGGTGCACACCAACAAAAGCTACATGGTTCAGAGTACAGTAGAATCTGCTCTAGCAACCCGCTAACTCAAACTAAATGTCCTTTCCCTTGATCAAAATTTCACTGAAATTTGCCTCAATAACTCGAATTCTGGTTCATGCAACTTCACTCGGATGCCATCCAATTAGCTGTTCCTTGTTGTATATTGGTAAAAATACACCATCGTGCAGTGAATAGATCACATTTTATAGTAAAAATGTCTAATCATGTTACCATTTCTGATGAAATAAATCATTTAAATTTGCACTGCGGACTGCGGTACATACTATACACACTGATGTGGGGAAAAAAACCAGTAACTATTAATAATTAATATAGTTACTGATTTTTTACATGTACAAACATAGCAAATTGAATATTCAATTGACCCCAATAACTCAAACCTCACTAACTTGAACTGTCTTTCGTTTCCCTTTGGAGTTCGAGGTACAGGGGTTCTACTGCATATCAAGCAAGAAATGCTATATCCAAGATTGTCACAATTTCAGGGAAAAGAAAGTAGCAAGAGGCAAGATGTCCTGTCTAATGCAGCCTGCAGATCAGGTGCATTAATCCCTATGAGCATTTAAAGTGTACATTAATGGTTCTCACTTTCTTCCATCTGGTAGTTTGTATGATCCATGATAAATTGTGTGACTTGATAAATATTCCAAAATTGCAGGTATGTATGTAGCAAACATGCCCTAAACAAAAAGTTGGACATAAGTCTTGCAGAATAAAATTTGTTAACTTTTTAAATAGTTCTGTCAAATTTTAATTGAAGAATTTAACAGTACTGAAATAAAGAAGTTAAGAGTCCTATGGTTCATCAAATGCTGATTAAGTCCATGACATTATTTGACTATCACAAATTAGAGAAGAAACTTTCAGTCACATATTAAACTTTGAACAGTTACAACAAAAATTGTAAGCAAACTACCTAACTGCCAAAGAGCTTTGAATTCTTCCAAATCCACAAACTCAAAAACATTTCAAAGGGAAACTGATACTATGCAATACTAAGTGCAGCGGATTAAGCATCCACTATAGCAAAAAAGGTTTCAAAGAGGAAACAAGTCATGTAAACAACTGGAAATAGAGGCATGCTAGCTTTAATCACCAATGAACAGATTGGAATAGAAACAACATACCAGGCCAATTGAGATAAAAAGCATCATAAATGTTCTACCAAAATATGTTACAGCAGATATATCACCAAAACCAACTGTGGACATGGTAACCTGGTGATTAAATTACATAATGAACTCACTAGAGACTGCAGTATATGCCACGGTCACTTAACACAATCACTGCAGGTTTTGAGATTGGGATTAATACTATTATTGTTTAGGCCTTTAAGAAACTCAGGGACTCAGGATAATGAGATCAAGCTGATAAAGTCTGAGTTCCACTTTCAACACTTAATTCTTACTAGAGGGTTAACAGTTAAGCTGCATTAAAAGAGGTTTATGGAAGTCTTTCAAGAGCTCCAGGTTGCCCCTGATGACTTTAATTACTTTGAGTTGCAGGGCACCCTGGATTTCACATGTGCAGAGAAAACAATAGCTGTAAGCTTGCCTGATTTCTCATTACTTTTATACATTACATTTGCTTTAAATAGGAAAAAATGGATTGCTAAACGTACATTTAATTTTGTACAGCACAGGTGCAGAGCACTGCGGGCTCACTTTCCTTAGAGTGCACAGCCTTGTCTTTAATTAGCTAATCCTGATTATGATGCAACAACTATTTGTTTTAATACCTCATGATATTCTCTGCATCCTCTTCACCTGGATCAATACACTCTTTATTGCACAAGACAATACAGCAATCCGCCAAGTTCATCTAAAAATTGAATTAAACACAAACATTAATATTGCATCGTATGCTGTGTGGCTGTTGCAAAATGCATAATGCTGAATGCTGAATAGCCCACACCTGTTTTCATACATGCTAGCTACAGCTTGCCCGAATGGCAGGCTGTGAAACTGACTTTCTTTGCACCCTGACAACACGAAGGCACACCAAGAAGAAGAGGATGGCAAATCATTTATGTGAGACAAACGTGACATGGCTGTTACTTATGAGCATGCATGTTTTGTTATGATCCTCAGTTTTTCTCACTGTGTTCAGGTCTTTTACAGAAAGACCTGTTTAAAGGGAGGCAACGGTTTGGCAGAAACGTTTTTCAGACATAATCAAATTATTGTCACGCTTGTCACGCAGAGTTTGCTGTCTTCTTTCCTATATTGCCTTCTTATTGTGTAAGTTTGTTAAAACAATCCAAGAACCCACCTTTACTCGTTGGCAGTCATCTCCATTCAGAACAGTTCCCTTGAAAAATGATACACTAATAAAATGTTTTTTGAACAATGATTCAAGCTCTGCATCTGGCAAAAAACTAAAAGGAAAACACAAAAAATGTGACTTGCATACCAGGTGCATTTCTGATTCATGAACAATGAAATTAGACTGAGGCTGAACTTGAGTTTTCTACACAGAAGACAGTTAACCAGGCACTTTAAGGACTTGTGGTCTAACAGGTCTCACTGTTTTAGAAATTTTTGCCAGTGTTCTAGCTAATCCATTTTTTGGTCCAGATGGCCAAGGGCTGATAATTTCCTCTGCAGTCAAATATGCAAGACTTTTT